CCAACATCGTATCTCTCAGAAACTTGATTTTCGAAGCCTTGAACCAACTCCCAGGCCTGAAATTTACAGGCAGTGACTTCGATTTTTTCGCGAGTCAAAGGAATGGCACAGCAGAGGATGTTAACATCCACACATATATTTTACTATAATATACTATACTATATTTTATCATACCGAAGTTACATTAAATGATACGAGGTTATTTTGTTATATGATATTAGACTCGATTAGATAAGATCATACACATACACAGTGATGAGGTGGTCTATGTTTGTGAACACCACCGGATTAAACTCATGGGGCATTGGAATGCTCCGATGACTCTAGACCGACCCGATGTCCGGTGGATTGGATCTGACCCAGCCAGAAAGAAGACGACAAACCATCACGTTTTTTTTTTTTTTTGACGGCTGAATAGTGTACCCTCCTTCTAACAATGGGCCCCTGGAAATACAGTGGATGGTTTTTACTTATTGTATTGTTATTTTTGTTATCTATCTATATATATATATAGACAGTTTTTTGTTCTTTAATCTTATTTTTTCCCCACACAGTTTACTGTTGGGGTTAGAAAAAAGAGCTGGCCACACTGACTGGCCGCGCCCCTGAACTCTGCGGCCGGGCTCTGTGACCGGGTCTTGTCCTCCTCTTGTCTTCTCTTGTCCTGCTCTTCTCTTGTCTTCTCTTGTGGCCGAACAATTAGCGATGTCGATGCCAACAAAATCATTGATAAATCCTTAAGCAGTTTGCTCTTGGGGGAGAGGTAGGGCGTACCAAGAAATCGTGTTTGACTTATATTGGTCCAAGCGAATCGTTTTGAGGCTGTTTGGGGTCTATGCTGGTAGAGTTTTTTACGACAAGACTTGAGGTCAGGATCTCTCGTTGCCGAACCAACTAAATCACTGCCCAAGCCCAGAGTACCTAAGCTGTGTTGATGCAGTTAAACTCTGTTGTTGCAAGAAACCAAAATCTCCCCAGAAATCAACCTGACTTTCACATCATGTGCATCTGCTAAATGTTCGATGTACTTCTACAAGTGAACGAGTCGAACAACAAAGGACTCACCTTGAATCCAAAACAGAAGCAGCCCACGACTCCGCGGTTGGGACCTGATCTTCCGAAACGGACCGGACCCACGCAGCACGACGAGCGGAGTGCAGCTCGTTTCGAGGCCCCATGCGGTGCGAAAACCCGCAGGCGGAACCCGAGGGAACGGGGTTCGTGTTACGCTGGTGGGAGGGTGGGAGGATGGGAGTGTAGCTGGTGGAAGGGGTCCAAGAGATAGATGTAAGTTTTAACATCTTAAAGTCTTAAATAGTAATTTCAACACAGGTTATCATGTTGTCCTGTGACCCAGTTCGATGATACTAGAGCAGTTACATGAAGTTCTCATGGATCCGCGCAAAGGGATTTGTGAGGAGGAATCAAGATCCCTTTTCATGGCTGCGGGTCTTTCTAGACGGGAACATGAGTGTTCAGGCGAGAGGCGAGAGGTCTTTTTGCAGGTGTTTCTTCACCAAGACCTTTCGCTTGTAAGACACCCACAGAGCGATCTACAAATGGCTCAAGCTTGCCAGAACACCCGAGGTGCCCCGGGCTCCGCTTCAACGGAACCGCTTGGCGGCGGTGGGTGGCGCCTGATCAGGCACTTTTGGGCTAATCCGTGATTCATGAAGGAAATACTGAAGCCACAGAACGTCACCAAGGTCCCGATGAGTTTTGTAATGATTCAGAGAAAGAGAGAGAGAGAGAGAGTGTATGAGTGAGTGAGAGAGAGAGAGAGAGAGAGTGAGAAAGAGAGAAAGAGAGAAAGAGAGAAAATAGAGGCGGCACTAGATTCAATTAACAGAGCAGGGTGCCATGAACGCCAGGGCGATTCGAGAACCCTCGACACGTCTCTTGTGGTTGTTCTATTTTGAGGGCCCACGACACTGGGATTTTCTGTGCTTTTAAGTGCAGAATTGTGATATCGAATCTATTGCAGAATTGATCTGAGAGGAGGTGTTCTTCTTAGACCTTTTCCAGACGAAGACACAAAGATGAATTCATGGTCTCATTTCGCACCTGAGCCTTTGGTACTTGTTTTTGGGATCAACCTTCGCTGACGAAGCATGCAAGGAGATCAACCACCAACACAGCTCCGAAGTGTTGACTTGCCTAGCCAATAAGCTTCCGGGTCGACCTCCACAGCTACGGCGTGGTAAGCACTCTTAAAAGATGTCCAGAGGAAAGGTGCTCAAAAAGGGTTGGCAAACTTTTTCATCTGGTGACCGGAGACACCTTGCGAGCTGGATTGGACCTTAGTGATGCAGCTTGTGAGGGTGCTCATCGATAGCCACAGGTGGCAAAAACACCTAAGACCAGGATAGTCCAATGAAACCTGGGACCATGTCCAAATGCTCAGACTTCTTGGTCTGTCACACCTCGTACATGGGCCCGACCAGTCGCCCGAGCCTGCACCAGGTAGGGACTTGGACTCGACTAATTCATGCAAGCAGATCTATAGGGCTCTAAAAATGGCACGTCGGATGCTGGAGCTCACCTTTCACAAACTGGTGCCGTGGTGAGAAACTCCACATCCCATCTTGGGTTAGTCAAACCTGACATGTTGATGAGGACAATGTGGTTGGGAGTTGGGCTGGCATGCTTCACGCGGGCCCGTGCACATCGCGCCCGCCGAAGCAAGTGACCCCCTCTCAAAGAGCCACGACATCGACACCACCTGAGGAGTGGTAAAACCATTGCTCGTTGCACAGATATCGAATTCAATCTGCATCACGGGATGCGGTTGCAAGGTTTTCAGGGTCCCTGGGCCAGTGGGGCCTGTGGGTTTCCAGGTAGTGAGGCGCCTTTTGTTTGTTCAAGATCAAAAGAATAGCACATCAGAGTCATCAGAGAGATGCTACTTGCTGGAGAATGTGTGTTTTGCTTGCAAAAGACCGACACTTAACACGGAGTTTTTGGAGAAATGGCGGACGAAACTGACGTCGCACACATCTCACGGTCCACGTCGCAGTCTCGGTCTGGTCCACGGAGCCCTGTGGTCGTCGGAGAGGCCTTGGCCCTCTGACCCCAGGGGTGAAGTGATTCCTCCAACCCTGAAACTGAAAGCTTTCTGGGGGGGGAGAGTTACATATATACATTGGGTTATCTGATTGTAAGCCTACCATGGAGTTGGAACCTGGATCTCACTCTACTTGGACATCTTGGGCAACAAAGAAGAAGTCACCTTAAGGTTGCGCAAAACATGGACCGTGACATCCAGCGGTTTGTAGAGCTTTCGGTTCTTGCAGCGATCCATTCTCAGTACCCTCAGGGTCCGTGCTAGTTTTGGTGGTTCGTGTTGATTTGGATCCACGGGTGGTGCAGACCATGAACATCCATGAAACAAATCACAGACTGCTAAAAGCTCCATTTCATTTGTAAATGGAACCTAAGAGCAATGGCCTCCAGTCAAAAAACGCCAATGGCCTCCAGTCCAAAAAGCGATTGCTAGTCCAAAAACACCGGTCAAGATGATATGGAAACCACAGCCACAGACCTCGCCGGTCGTCGGTGAGTCACCCAACGCCAGCTCGACGGAAGATCGACGAGGGCAACGGGCAGCTTCTCCAGACGGCAGGGCAGCGGGCAGCTCGAGCGCTGCACAGGATGATCTCAAAACAGAATCATCAGGGGTTTGGGGGGGGGGAGTGTGGGACACTCAGGGGTTTGGAGTGTCCAACCCCTCCACAGCAGTGTCAATCCCCTGAAGAGGCGTTTGGGCTAATGAGGATTCGTGCCAGACTTTGTAACTTGTAACTTCCAGGTCAATGCACTTCTGCCTGCTTGTCACGTAGAGGGATCCCAAATCTATGACCCAACATCACACAACTCATCCTCCAGTATTTCGAAATAAAGACCAATTAGATTGAGTCTCAATCCTCACCCATAGCAGCTGAAGAGACCGTCACAACAGCCCCTTTTGCCATGCTTGGAGAAGTAGAGCCCGGTGGTGGGTGTCCACCAGCAGAGCCCAGCTCAAGCGTGTCTCAGGCGTGTCTCACGAGCACAGACACAATGGAAGCTATCCATCCATCCGCTGGCCTTCTAAGCCATTCGCATTGGGTCGCGGAAGCCGATGTTCTCCATGCCTGGTGACGCGGCAGGTGGTCAATCGGAGATTTCTATGCAAGTGATCGCAGCCAGAGCAGCTTAACAAGCTCCACGGTTTTCCAGGTTGGCCAGATGCTTTGCTAGGAGCTAATGGCATCGGGGGTTCGTTGGAATTTGTTTTCAGAGCGGGCTCTTCAGAGGGTGTGACCAGTCATTCTGACCCTGTAAATCTTACATCCGTACCATCAGTTTGATCCAGAGCTGTCAGTCCTAGATGACCTCCCAAGTCACCAAGAGAGGCCCAACATGGTCAGTGCCAAAAAGGAAGTCCGGCAAAGAGTGAGAAAGAAGAACAGCACCTTTGGCAGCTATTTTAGAGAATTCTCAGGTGAGCCATTAAGAAGGGGCCCAAGCTGCTTACCGGCTGGCACACCAGCACTGTCCGGTGTGCCGGGCTTTTTTCAAACAGCTTAGCCGCGGATCCCACCATTTGGGGCCAGAAGCGCCGCTGGCAAAAAGGGCAGACGGACCGGACTGAGCATTAACGGCCACGATTTCGGGTTCCATGTGCTTTAGGCATGCTGGGTGCATTCCAGAGTGAACTAGGATATATTTGACTAATGAGGTTTGTGCAGTATGTGAAGACCCCCGCACCGGGAGAAATATGTAAGTGTTTCTATTGGGGCCACATCGAGCTGTATGATGCAGCATTTTCCAGTAATCCACAGATGCCCACCCTGGCCCAATGTTGGGTCCAACAATTACCAGAAGAATCAGTGACTCAGAGAGGCAACCATCAGTCACTTCAATGACCACGTTGCACAGCCATCCCCCAGGCCATCCCCCCAGGCCTCTCCGATCTCGACCTTGGCCGATTGGCCGACCGTCGACCGTCCTCCTGTCAGCTTTGCGAGCCCATTGACGTGACCATGGACGCGCAGGGCGCCCTCTATGTGGCCGACAACGGCCCGGGGGGACGGCGTTTTTAGTGAGGGGTGTGGTTTGACCGGTTCCCCCTGCGGATTGAGAGCAGGTTTGGTGTTTCTTTTTTTCTTTTTGGAGGGGGTTCAGGGTCTTTGTTCATGTTCAAATGGTCAACCCAGGTAGCCTTGTTTGAATATGTTCCTCCTTCTTTTGTTGGGATCTCCGTGCTTTCGACTCGCACCCAAGGGTCCGATCGGTAGGCATACACCCCAAAGCATACACCTGGCCAAGGGAGAAGCATACCAAAACCCGACCCCCCGGCCCCCACTATCTCTTCCAATACACGTAGAAAGAAACACCTGGACTCTGAGAATCTCAGCTAGTACCTGAGATCACTCACTTCAGGGCCTGGAAGAAGACCTGGCAGGTCTTCTTCCATAAAGAGCTAGTTGAATTTCTTCTCCTTTCACGCCGATGCTCCATGGTCGCAGGGAATGCTCGAGTGGCCTGTGCCTCAGTGGGAAAGTCAGGTGTTCTCTTCATGACCAGTCAGCTGTTCTCATTGGTACGAGGGGAGGTCTTCATCCACCGCTCGTAGGTGCCTGCTGTTGATCACGCCAGCCACCGTGGCTCACCTCACTCCACCGGTTCCGTCCTGGTTTGGAACCCACGCCGCACCATGCCGGGGAGGTCCGTTGGGCGGCACCCTGTGCGCCCTATGAGCGCATCCTGCCCGGGAAACCCGGTCTCTCCGGCGTCCGGCGGGCCCGGGCGTGGTCGAGTGGGTCATTTCGAGGCGTCCAGGGCAAGTTTTCGCATCATATTTCTAGACTTATATTTGCGGGTCTAGTTTTTCTAGTTCTCTATTCTTTTTTCCGCTGGTCCTCAAATAAGTCACTTGCCATTATGCACCTTATGCATGTTGACTGCGAACAACGTGAACCCAACCCAACCCTGTGGAGATGTTTGGTGGAGTCTCCCATCCTCAGTATGGACTCGTATGGACTCAGAGAGTGGCCCGCCAGCTGAGGCCGTGTGCCAGTGGTTTCTGAGGTGGGACCAAGGGATGGAAGGGCCCTAGTTTGGCCATGTTTGGCCATTATTGCATTGGTCTAGACCCTCCCTGGATCGAAATAGTTAGGTCATGTTAGGTCAGATCACCCAAGGGTTTGGTTTGGAAGATCAGAATTCTCTCTACGTCAACTTCATCACATATTATATATATATACAGAGATGTGGAGGTCTTCCAGATGTTGCACTTCAGGTTGGGCGACTCTGACTCGTGGGTCTACTAGTATATTCTATTCAGCGATGCTTGGGGAATCACACTTGACCACCTGTCGTCATTCCTCCGGCCTTGGACAGGAATGGAAATGCCAACGAAGCCTCAAGCAACCCCAACGAAGCCTTCGACGAGTGGTCTCACATACCTTCGACGACCAATGGACATCAATCTTCTCACAGTTAGCAGATCAAACATCTTCAAAGTCATCAGTCTCACGGTTAGGAGGTTCTTTTCGTGGAGATGGTTTTTCACCGGAGACCATCGACATGACGTGCCCATCGACCTGGAACTCCAGCGAGTTCCCCCCCAAGAATCGCCGAAGTCGCAGGGACCGAGCCACCGCGTTGCGCCTTGCAGGCCGCAGGCCGCGCCTTGGTGTTCGTTGAGAAGAAAGCGGAACAAAGCAGTCTGCAGTTTCACATGATTTAGAATCCACCCTGTGGCGGTTTCCGCGGAATCCAGGCCTCCACGGTTCAGGAAGCAGTGTTTCGGAGGTTCTCGGAGGTCACTCCGCATGGCTTAGGCATCAGCCGTTTCAGCCATGTTGCTGTATCCTTCTTTTGCTGAAGCCCAGGTTTGGAGCATCGTTTTTCCAGGTCGACTCAGGTCTTCTGTGCGAGAGGGCTCTTCTTTGGGGCAGAGTTCAGTCTGGAGATGCCACTCCTTGGGGTCGGACTACAACGAGGTCGGTAAATGCAGTCAGCCAAGCTGTGCAGTCAGCCGATCTGGACACAAAGTAAATACGACTACAATGAAGCGTCATAATAATTAATAACAGCAACAGCATCCCAAAGCTGGGCTTTATTCGCAGAGATGCCAAGTGAAGCTTGGAAGTTTGACCAAACCTGGGATTTCGCTCGTTGAAGGGCATGGCCAGGCTTGGGGAGGTTGCCGAAAAAGTTGTTGCCAAGAGCTGGCGAGCAGAGGGAAGCAGCACGCAGCCTGTGGAGTGTTGCAAGTGCATGAGATCTGGGTGCGTGTTTTAATAGTGGACCCCTCAACCAAAGGTGTTTTGGTCGATATTCTTTAGCGGATCTATTCTAATACCCATCTGAGCAGAATCTGGGTATCGCGATCTAGCACCGGCCAAAACAAATCAGGTCCTGCTGGTTTCTCTGCATAGCCATGCCGTACCCATCTGACAAGCGGACAGGTTGGGGGCCAAGGGTGAATAAGTGAAACCCAGTGACATGTGGTCAACTGTTAGTTTGAAAGGAATCAGGAGTGGACGAGTTGGTCTCTTCCAAGAGTCTGCCTCCAACGTCCCGACATCCTGGAAAAGTTCCAACTCCGCGGGAGTGGACCTTTGAGTTCATGTTAGGAGCTCCTGCATGCTTTCTTTGTGAAGCCTCCCGTCATTTTCGTGCATGGTTCAAGCTTATTATTACTGGCATGGCAAGGTGCACATTGCACATCCTTGACAGTTTGTTTGGAAAGCCTCTCATCATGCATTCCAAAATTTCTGCAGGTTGTTGAAGTACTTTGCCCCAGGATCGTTCAGGATGATTTAGTCATCTACCAAAGCCAACTTGGCAAGTTATCCCAGGACTTGTTGATGCAGAACATGCCAGAGGTGTCTGGCCCAAAAAGGGACGCTTCGTGCTTCACATCACTGCGATGAAACGCCATCATCATCCCTAGACCCCTCCAGATTTCATGGCTGAGGCCGGAGTGTTGCGGCCTTTGCTGGATTTGGTCATTGTGGCTTTCAACCTTTTTCGTGGCAGATATATTGTTCAAGGTTCCTGCTTGGGTTTACTAATCGAAATGAGATTTCCAATTGAGGTACCTTTTGAGTTGTAGGGGATAAGTAAAGGAATATAAATACATATATATATATATATATACATGCAGGTACCTGATAAAGAGGCTTGCAAAGTAAGCCTTCTGGTTTTCCCACGAAATCATTTTCCACAAGATAGGCCCTTCGTGATTGCTCATTTTGGGAAGGAGCAAACCTGAAGGACCCACTGGTCTTGTGGGTGTCAAAGCAAGATCACCTAGAACAAGAGCTGCTTTTTCTTGGGGGTCCACACAGTCCACGCCCGATCGTGGCAAACTGGCCAACTCTTCGCGTGGAGGCCGAGGAGCTGCCGGAGGACTGGTTTTTTCAGAGCTGCCGGGCTGCGCCTTTGACTAACCACACCCAGCCCCCGCCCTCTTCAGAGACATCCCAGTGGCCCCATGCCTGGTGTCGACCTCGGCCATTTCCTCGCCCTTTCCATTTTGGAGACCTCAGCTGGTGTGGATCGTAGCCATTACCATGGCACACAAGTGCAAGATGAGGACTTCCAGCATCCATTGGGCTGCAGTTATAGTATGTTGTATACATATATATATATACAATCACATATTGACCCTTAATTTACCTTGAACCCCACGTTGAATCATGATCATGGGGTGTAGATCAGCCAATGGAGAATTGGGGGTGCGTGAACATGTGGCTGTTGCTTTTTGGGCAGGACACGTCGGTGGGCATTCCACTGGGACCTTCGATTTCATCAGGCCGCCACTCTTTTGTGGTTGACATGCGTTTGGAATAGACAGCGACAGGTGCGAGTGAATTTGCAGGCAACATGGAAAGGTGCCACACCTTTAATTAAGAATGATTGAATATTGGTATCGCGGCTTGTGACGCATCCCACCGAGCCCTTCGTCGTGTTCTATGATAGGTGCTGGGGTGTGAATGCGTGAACATTCACATATGCCATACATGTGGTGAGCCATGAGCCAAGCGTTTCTTTGACGAACTGCCAGGTGCAGCTGCCAGTGATGCAAACTACTGCTATTTGATCCTTTTCAACCTCAACAAGACACGGGACGCCTTTGCTTCAGCACGTTTTTGTTCAAAGGTGGTTCTATTTGATGAGAGGGCCTTGTCACCGAGGTTGCCGTTCATGAGGCGCCTTTAAGGAGGCTTTCTTTGGTTTTCGAAAACATCACCATCCATCCCACAAAGCAGATGTGCCTCTCAAGTTCTGACGGAACATGCAGGGACTAGTAGCTGGAAGCATTTGACTGCTAGCCCAAGCCTGGACCATCATGCAGGTTCGTCGGCCAGTCGGCCAACGTCGGGCCCCTCTTGTGAAACACCAAGAGTCCACCGAGTCCTCGCATCTCTTGCCACGGAAAGTGTTGAGGTTTGGTGCTCAGGGGAAGCCCCAGGTGAAGCCAGGGAGAACTTGAGGGCAAGCGCCGAGATTTTGAGATTGACCCTTCTAAAGGCGACTGGGGATCAACTCGAAAGTTCAGTTCCACATTCCATGTGCAATTGAGGATCCATGAGTAGTAGTGTAACAAAGATCAAAGGTTTTTGCTAGGGGTTCCTGCATCCCCAAACCGAAATCTCCTTTGGGTGTTGTCGTGGTTGTGTCGAGCTCCTTTTTTGGTGAAACCGACATTGGAAACTGCAACGTTCTGCAGCTTCACCCAGTTGAAGGGGCAGAACGTCTCCGCTATCCAAGGAAGAACAATCTGGGCGCCATTCTCCGCTCTGCAGCAGCCTTCGGCGTGCGCTTGGTGCTGCTGGTCGGGCGCCAGGGCTTCAAGGTGTGGAGGGTGGACAGTCTCGTGGGTTGAGTTTTGGAGGAAGCTTGGACGTGCCAGTTTCTAGTCTCTCTGACTGTCAAGCTGCTTTACATGCCTTGTTAAGTCTTGGTTCATTCTGGGGTGTATGGACGAGCATTCCCGGAAGCTTCGCAGAGTCGGTGGCTTTTGAGTTGAGAAGTGTTGCGGGTCCAACTGTGCCTGCGCTGGTGTGCCAGCCGGCCAACAATAGCTCTTCTGAGGACATACATACCTGGATACTGCTGATTGACTTCGTCTAAGCACCACAAAAACCTTTAACGCCTGTTGTTGTGGACTGACTAAATACCGTATATATATATATATAACATGGGGTGATGCACCATTCAAAGAGCGGAGAGCAACAGGGCTCACAGAAATTCGAAGGAGCAGGGAGAGCTAGGACCAGACCCTGTTTTTGCTTTTCAGGCTAAACCATTTGGCCTCAGGGTTAAGCCTACTGTGAAACAACTTTGAAGTGAGAACCATCCACCACGCTGGAGGCCTTTTGCAAGAAGAGTGGACAGGGTGTCGTGCCAATTGAGACGCTTGACGGGAAAGCCGCATGGGAGAGGTCGAGCCACAGTCACTGGTCATTTTCCGGGTTTTCCGTTTGAGTTACAGCCAGAGACGGTCAATGAGTTCCACCCAAGTGCGACAGCTCTATGACTTCCACCCAAGTTCGACAATTCCTTTTTTTGCCGGAGACAGGCAGCTCGAGTCTTGTTTCTGATTTACAATGAGAGATCCCACCTGTCATGACTCGAGAGACAGAAGCGGGTGCAGTGAAAAGGAACTCAAACTGCAGCGGCACCCTATAGCGCACCAGCTCCCATGTTCAAAAGGAGCACGCCCTGCAGCGGCACCTGCACCCAAGCTCCAAAACACACATGGCCATCAACATCTTGCAGCAGCGCCCTGGAGCGGTGCTCTGCAACGGCAGCAGCACCCAAGCTCTTGAAGTAGGAACCCCAATAGCTCTCGCTATCTGGAAAATAGTCTGTTCCAACTTGATCGCCAATGATGACCCGGATTGCGGAGGCTCAATCCTGGAGCTTCCATCTTTGCTGGGATACCAGATCCAAACCCCGAACAAGAGGTCCTGAGAAGGCACTGACCATGAACACAGGGTTTTGAAAAAGCATTGCCCTCTAAGGAATGCGCCCAGCGTGCAGGAGGCGGTGGACGCACTGAAGGCGCCGGTCGCTCTCGCGGCTCGATGCCCACGCAACCAGTTGGCACCGGTTGCCGTCTCAGACGGTTAATGGATGGAGATACACCTCACGATTTTGAAGAACATGCTGAGTGTGGGTCTGAACCGCCGGCCATGTGTGTGTAGATTTCATCTTTGCATGCACCCCCCCTGTTGCCCCTGGATGAATCCGTCCCTCTATTCCTCCGGCTCGTCTCCCTCTTTAAAGGCACGACACCCTCCGGGAAAGCTGCAAGTCTGTGGTGTTGAGATCCTCCCGCAGGCGCGGGGGAGCCGGCCGTCACACTGCGCAGGTGCTAATTAGTATGAATCCAATTGGAATGCTATCAACTCGATGGTTGGTTTATCAGTACAGAATCCTGGCATTTTACGGAATACTGCATTTGTTGATAATTCACAACAACAGCAAAATTTGCATTACACATAAGTTAAGAACAACCAGAATCAGAATCAAAATACATAGCAAACTAAACTAGTGAGAGAGACCATTCAATTGGCATCAACATGAATCCATCCCAGTACGCGCTCTACTTTCTAGCTAGTATTAAAACGTCACGAACAATTCACGATGCTTTATTTATGATTCACATCTTTATATCAAACCCCCGAACGAACCGACACGAACGGAGCGCAAGAAAACGCATGGGGTGTTTCTTGATGCGTCATCGACCTTCCGGAAAACCCACCCGGTGAGACGGAGCGGTGGCGTCGTCCTGAGACTGGGCGTCGTGCTTCGTCCCAGGCACAGTCCCTTCATTCCAGTCCTTTCCATGGACCCACTGCCTTCATGGTGGGCAACGAGCGAGGAGGCGGAGACGGTATATACGTGGGCAGGGTACCTGTGGGTTCTTCGCACAGCAAAAAGGATTTGAGTCATGCTTGTATTGTATATCACTTTGATTTGATTCTGTTGATGTTAATCCAGACAGTTGCTGGAATTTTCATTCCCAGACTTTTGTGGTGAGGTCTCACTCGAGAGCAAATTGACCACTGTGACAGTGACCGAGCTTCAGATTGGGAAGGTGGATTGGAAGGAGTGAGAGTGACTTGTGCTAAGGCTGCTAAGTGATGAGGGTGGCTGGATGCAATGGAATCTCTATTGGGTGGGAAACGTCCCACAAGTGTCCGACGAAGCCTTCGATCGACGCGTGCCGAGTCACCTCGTCGGCCTCTCGGGCCGAGCGAGCTCCAGACTTGCGAAACAGAGCGACACATGGAAGTGCAAGAGGATGTTTAAAGCAAAGCGAAGCCGATACTTGGATCTATTTGGGGGTCACCAAAGGCAGCTCACTGTCAGGTTGATTTCCATGTTTTGTGGAAAGGGAAGCAGACTTAGCAGACTTAGCTCTGTAATATATGTGGCCTTTTGGTGGATGTGTTTTTCCATTGGAGCCCTGCAGAGAACCCTCGCGTGCCTTCCCTGGCGACTCGTTGGCTCCGAGGCTTCGTCTACATTCCGCAGTTCGGCGGCGGCGTAGGTCGAGTCGACGAGAGTCGACGACGGACGGTGTCGATGGTCGTCGGTCGGCGGGCTGAGACCGACAGCAAGCGCAGATCGGAAAGTACTTGGCAGAACAGATCAGCCAGATTTCATGATGTAAAGAAGGATGTTGTGTGATCTTCCCGGCCAACCCCAGCACTATGTCGATCTGGGGAACCAGTTCCTCAAGATCGGGTCAGGGTCTTCAACTTGAGGTTCACTCCTTAAGCCAAGCAGCCAGTTCTGTGAGTTCTATTGTTTCTTCAACTGTAACTCATTGTTTTCTTGAAACCAACCCGCGTGGCTGGCATAAGCAGGTGGGCCTGTACAGTCCCAATGGTTGTCAGCGGGGGTTCTTGAAACAAGGCAACAGCAAAAGCTCCCTGAGTTTGGTGTTCAACACATTTCATGACCGAAGCCGTTGCAGCCTTCGCATGCGCATGCGCAGGCTCGCTGAACGTGGCGTGCGCCTGCAGTGTGGCTACTTGGCGATGCTCGGTGCAGCTCCCTCAGGTCCCACAGCTCCCGGACATTCGGAGGTCAACGGGTGATGAGACGCGACAACCCACAGGTTGAGGGGACCCCTTGTTGAATGCTTGGAGCTTTCCTTCAGTGTTGTGAGGTTTGAAACCCCCACAGCCTACACCAAGGTTCTGTACCAGTTCAGCGCCTGGGCCTCTTCCTCCACAAAGGGCTTGGGCTTCCAAGAGGACGAGCGGCTCGGCAGACTTGGACCGGCGGAGAGAATGGGTGGGCGTGAATGAGTGAGGAATGACCATGAGGGAGGATTCGGTGGTGTTTGGCTTCAACCTCGGAGTTGTTTAGGGTTTTGAGTTCTGCTTGAGATCAGAATCAGTTGCAAGCAGCTTTGAACAGTTCAAGCTGGACTTGGAGCTTCATCGACTTTACCCACGCAGCCCCCTGCACCCTTGGCCGCCCCAGAACGGTCTGGCGCACCACGTCTGGGCGCCGCGCCGCACGGCCCTCCAGGCGCCCCGCCATGGCCGTGCCCCACGGCTCCGGCAGCTTCGCGCTGCAAGGGCCGCGGCCCCTGCCGCCGCGGAACGACGGCGGAGGCGATTGGAGCGTAGAGGGCACCATGAGAGGTGGGAAGAGACAGGTGGGAAACGGGAGGTGGGTTGATCTATAGACCGTATACACCTACAATCGGCCGGTCGGCCTTTCCTATTAAAAGCTAAGAAATGGCCTACGCCGTAGTTTGAGATTGGATGCGAACATGTTGACGATAGATCTGTGATCAGCTCATGAGTGTCTTCCTTTGCGACAGAAAAGCTGCATGTCGACGTGAGTATGACATGCCCTCACGGGATTCAGGGAATTTCATGGGCCGCTCACTCTGGAACAGCTGCCGCCGTCCAGGTGAGTCTGCGTTCCGAGTGAAGCGGACGCGGAGTCCGCGAAGTGGAGAGTAGTGATTGGAAAAAGAATGGCGGGACGCCGATGGGGCAGATGGACAGGTTGGTGGTGCTGGAAGCTGGTTGGACTGGTTACTGGTTGGATGGAAAGGTGGCTGGAGAAGTCTGTGGGCCTTGGCAGGTTATTTTTTTGTCATGGATGTGGGTTGCCATTGTTTGATATTGTTTGTCATTCCTTTCTTTATGGTGGGGCATGCGGCATGGTGGTTCAGAATGCCTGGTCAAGCCTTTTCAAAGGCTTCCAAGGTCAGGCCCCCATCCGATTCATCCCATTCCCCTCCCTTTGGCTCGAGCTGAACTCTTTGAAACGCCTCATATACAATCTTTTGAAAGAACCTTGGATCATGGCGCAGGCCATTGCCGCTTGGCCAAGCGAACTGGGGAGAAAGCTTGAGATTCGGTACTGAGATCCACATGGTGGCAGCTTGAAAGTCAGGTTTGTCTCAGAAAAAAGTCCAGTGAAGCCCAGATACCCCGCTGGTTTATGTATAATATATAAATGTGGGTGTGTATACAAATAGGAAGACCTCCCAGGCAACAACTCCCTGGTCAAAGGAAAGTAAACTCAAACGCTTTGGTTGGTTGGGTGTTCCTGTGAAACAATACACACAGAGGTTGTGCTCAGAGGTGTTTTGTCTGTGCTTCCGGCCACGTGTTCCCAAATGAGCCGGGCGCGGCGCCGGTGCCCTGTGCTTTCAAAAACACAAACATGGTTTGTTGAGTTCGGTCCAAAAACCAGGAACATACATATGTTTAAACATGATTTCAAGCACATGTTCTTCGTTCTGTCAAAAAACACCCAGGAGCATGTTCTTTTAAAACATCTGTCAAACACAGGAACATGCGATTCATCATTCTTTCCAAAGAGTTGTAACAATTCCGTATCAACTCGCCCATCAGTTCCAGACGTCGAACCCAACCCACCGGTCGCACTGGGTGCGGCCGAAAAAACGCACCAGTCCAGGTGGTGGGTGGCGGCTTGGCAGGGGTTTCTGCGGCCAACACGGTGCTGGAGTGCGGCGGCAAGGTGCGGAAGGGCCGCACCAGGGCTGGTTGGGCGGTTGGGATCGTTCTGATCGAAAAGACCGGATTTGAGGTGATCGAAGAAGCTCGTTTTTTGTTTTTTGCTACTGAACATTTGCACCTGTGTTTTGGAAAGCCTCAAATCGGTGGGTAAAACGCACGAAAACAAGTTGACGGACAGTTCTAGTTCTAGATGAGTCCTGCAACCCCCAGCAAGAGTCTGTGATACAAGCCTGGGTGACCATTCCAAGTTTATCATCATGCAATATCTAGCTTTGTTGATTTGTTGTCAGAGAGGTCTCTCTCTCTCTCTCTCTGTCTGTGTCTGTGTCTGTGTCTGTCTGTCTGTCTGCGTCTGAACGAGGACCAAGCGAGGCAACTGGGTCTTATTCCCATCGGTGTGGAAATGGTTGAAGTCCAGCAGTTTCAAGAATCCGATGAAGTCCAGCCATTTTTTCCCGCACGGTGGTGACTTCTCGGCCAGTACTTTCGGATCAAGCTGGTAGAGCGAAGTGAAGAGTGTAGAGTGGTTGAAGGAAAGGACAAGGACCCAGGACAAGGACAAGCTCAATGCATGTTTTTTCGGGAAGGCAGGTCAAAGAGTTTCTTTTGGAGCTACATGCAAGACTTTGGCGTTTAGCCTCTGACCACTCTAATGCTCAAATGATGAAGCGCCAAGCACTCGATCAGCCCTTCCACCTCTGGAGATTTTGTGGACATCGCTGACACTGGGCCGACATGGTCCTTCCAAGTCGTTTGAGAATTCAGCCATGGGGCTAGAGTTGAAGATAATTGCGCTGTCTGGCGCAGTGGTCGATGAGGTCATAGCTTTGGCAATTCAAAACGCCAGACATTGACATGTCATGTGAGGGAAACGACGGGGCGCGCCAAACGGACCTCAAGGTGTGGGAATTCCAGGCATTTCCATGTTGGTACCTTGAAAGCCAAAGCTTTTCACTTGTTCAAGCTTAGGAGGCCTATCGATTTGCTCACAGTAGGTTGGGAATCTGAAGGAGAGCTCGAAAACGAGGCATACGCACTGTACAGACCGAAGTCGGGTTGGATCAACAAGCCGTGACTAGGTCTCTTGCATCCATTCCTTCACCTGGACAGGTATTATCTACCTCGAACCACGTCATGGTAGTGATCCCCAAACGGCAACTCACTCTCTAGTTGAAATCATCCACCTTCCCGAAAGATCTCTTGGAGTCTCTTGGGATCGCGCGCAGAGCGATCCCACGGCCGTCCGACTCCTTCCGCGGCGACCCGACCTCCTCCGGCCGCTCCGCGTGCGGTTCGGCGTCCGACGTCCTGCCCGTCGCGCGGGGGTTCGAGGCCGGGTGACGGACCGTCTCCCGCGTCGCGGACCCGTGGCGGCTCGTTGTGCCGAGGTGGACCCCGAAACGCTCGAGAGGGCTGGCCTGAGCGTGCTGGCGCTCCGCGTGGCGAGGAAGCTCCGAGTCTCCCCGGGACGATTGAGGCGGTGACACGGAACGTTCTAAGAGACGATGAGGATCCATGAGGTGTTTCTTTGCTTTTTGCATGCGGGGTTGTAAGATTGGAATGCCTAGAATTGAGGCCTGTCCGACTCTCCCCATCATATTTTATAGATTTTGTTAGTTGCCAAAGGCCCTCAAGCCGAAGAACGAGCCCTGCTACCTTTGTTTGAAGGCTTTGCCACGTTGGGCTCAGATAGACCAGAAGGCCACGGATCCCATGTCTCTTCAAAGTCGTGTCTCGGATCGGAGGTTCAACGTCGACGGAGGTTCTTTCACGAGGAGACGGTCCTGAAACTGTGCAACTCTTGGGATGATTTGGGGCGACCGGAGGAGCTGCAGGCCGGGAGCGGTGGGCGATGTGGAAAGGCGGGAGTTCCTGTAGTTGAGATCACCAGGGCTGATGGTTTTTTTTGATTGGCGATGAAACTTAGGGGTTATTGAGTTATTGAATGATTTTGATGATGTTGGGAGGATGTTTGAGAGTGAAAACTCAAAACCATCCTTTTGCGGGCTTGGGCCTTGAAGCTCATGCTTTCTTGGTCATGGGTTTTGACTCGTCATCAACTGGCCGAAATTCGAACAGTTGGAGTTTTGCTTGGGAGAACTGCATACCGACCGTTGATGGAAGAACCCGTCAGGAAACCAGGAAAACAGGGAGCATTGTCTGAAAAATTCGATTGCAATCAGCTTCAACCTTAGAAAATCAGCTTCTTCGGTCGCACGGGTCACCATCCACTATTCCTCTTCATGGTGGTCCTTTGGCTCCGCAGTCCACCATGGAGCCGCCTTCTGTGGCAGTCCTAAACCCACCCACCGTCTGCACCAGTTCCAGGCCGAACGATGCTCGAACGATGCGAAGGGTGGACCCATCGGTATCCATCACCTGGGGTACCGATGGGATAGTCGAACTAGGGGTTTTTCAACCGCTGTTGGCAGTTGAACACCTGTAGCAAAATCCAGCCAGTGTCGTCAGGTTGCAGTTGGTCTGGCCACTGCCGGACTTTTAGGCAGCCTGAGTAGAACAACCCTTCTGGGTTCGCGCTTGTTGCCCCATTCGTGCCAGGTGGTGGTTCTGCCCGCCTGCAACGACTTCCAGGAGGAGCTGTTCGCAGCGGTGGACGCCGAAGATCTGCAGCAGGTGTCGATCCTTCTGGACCGTCTCCCGGCCATTGAGGGGGTCCGAAACACGCGAGGTCTCTACCAACCGAGTTGGGCCGAAGGGGTCAGAAGGGGGTCGGTGAGGAAGGCGAAGCGAACAGGGCTCGGTTTGGCAAACTCAATCAGAATTTGATGACAAGCCATGACAAGTCTTCAAAGAGAAGCTGGTCCCTTTCCACTTCGCACTTAAGCTTTGCACCTCCTTCGCTTCTCCAAGGCCTCCAGGACCCGGATGTCCGTGACGAGGCGCACCTCACTCCCTTCATGCGCGCGAGCATCGCCGGGTCGCTGGAGCTCCTCGTGGCGCTCCACGGCGCCGGCTGCGACGTCGAGGCGTCGGCCCCCGACAGCGGCAGCCGCGCGTTGCACCTGGCAGTGTCCAGAGCGCGCTTGGAGACGGTGAAGGGCTTGGTGGCCTTGGAGGTCGACTTGGATGCGCAAGATCATTTGGGCAGGAGGGTCTTGGGGTGTGACAGACTGGGAGAAAGCTGGACAAGAGGTCATGAGGATGGGTTTGGATCCTTTACAACTTTACAAGAGGTTGAGGATGAAAAGTACAGGGTGATTTGAGGGTGAAGATAGAACAGATTTGAAGAGGTGCTTGTACCGAGAGCACCGGTCAGGTGCGGTGGCCACTCCATTGGTGGGGGGGTTGCTGTCTGCTGGTCCTTAGCTTTCTCCTGGTTACAATACAACCTCTGCATCAAGCTGGCATGTCTTTTCTTAAAGGAAAGTGACTAGCCCACCAGTCATGCACATGACTGTGACAGCAAAACCCTCGTTCGCGAGGACGGCGCTCTTCGAAGCAGTCTATTTGGGCTGCCACGCCGTGGCCCGCGCGCTGCTGGAGAACGCCGCGGACGTCGACCGCGCCGACGCCTCAGGGGTGACGCCCTTGCGCTTGGCTGCGACGAGGGGATGTTTGGAAGCAGTACAGAGACTTGGAGATCGGAGGAAAAGGGAGGATGCAGCAGTCTTGCAAGAGGATGGAGTTGAGGAACACATGTTTGTCTAAGGGTTGGCCCAGCTGCGAGACTTGTTTTCTTGCTAATACTGATAATATGAGTGCATTTTTCATGAAGCCTGGCTAGGTCTAGGTCTAGGTGTTCATTTGGTACAGCTCTACCTGTGAAGAAAAGGTCAGACTAGGTCTACATGTTGCTCAAAACTAATTAGTGAAGATCCTAGTAAACAGCATAGTTTGGAAAGACAACTTGCACTTGCAAGATTACCTGCTTGTGGATCAAATCCTTGATCAAGCCTTGCAGGGGACTGGTCAGCACTTGTGAACATTGACCTACATGGAGGGGATCTCTAACTTGTAAAGCGGTGTCTCTACACGAGCAGGATCCTTGGACACCAGCAGGATATTGTGTTCCCGTTCGAAGGTTCAAGTTTGTGGTTGTGGGTCCTCGGGCGCTGAGGATGCTTGTGGGCTTTGGTGCGGACTTGGAAAAGCTTGGCTTAGATGGCTGCGGGCCACTGCACGTTGCAAGTGGGCACAACCAGCGGGAGGTGGTGGAGCTGCTGTTGGCTCTTCGGGCCAATAAGGAAGCAACAGACTTGGAAGGCGCGAGGGTTGGAAAAAGCTTGCGGTGATTCAACGGGATTTTGCGGGACAAATGTAAAAACACAGGCAGGGGAGAGGTCGAGGGGGGCTCTGATGTTGTCAAGCACCTGGGAGGTGCATGTTTGTATTTAAGGGATAGATTGGGCAAGTACTGTAAGTAAAAGAACCAATGAGCAGGGATGTGGAGGAAGCAGAGTCTAGGGCGGACATACGGGATCTCATGGTCCTTGCTAATTGGCTTAAAGATGGAAAGACAGAATCTTCTAGGTGGGTGCTCTGTGTGCTTCATGTTCTAAACAGTTTTCCCTTGATGGCCAACAACGCCCGCGAAACGCGAAACCAAACTTTTCAGAATTTGCTGAGGGTTCATTGGGAGGTTCTTTTCTTGAATGCCATGACTTCTCTTCTTGATGTTTCTCCCCTCGATTTTCTCATGCACTGCCAGGTGCCACACCTTTGCACTTGGCGGCACGGCATGGACAGAGCCGAGTCTTGAGCACGTTGCTCGCGGCCAAGGCTCAGCAGCTGGCGGATTTCCATGGCGTCCCTTGGAGTCAAGAGGAGCCTCGAGATGGCCCAAGAAGTGGGAGAAAGGCTGCTGGTTGATGTGTGGATTGGTCCGAAGGAAGAACAAAAACAGACACTGTGGACTGTGGGGGAGATGTTGTTCTCCTCAGTCACGCAGAACACGCCCTTTCCGGACCTCTCGTCACTCACAGGTGACCCCACTGGCAGCTGCAGCGGCAGCTCAGCCGTGGCGACTCAGCCATGCCACGAACAGCGGGCCGGAAGCATGTCTGCAGACGTTCATACAAGGGCACTCAGCAGCCCAGTTGTGCTTGGCAGATGTCTGAAAAATGAGAAGCGGATGAAACATCATGAAGCCACGCCGTTGTGGGCCCAAGGGAGCCAAAAGCGGGGGGTCAAAGCATAGGCACATCGACTCAAAGACCAGTTCACCCAGTTCACCTTGCAGGTACGGTCTTCATCCACATAACCCAAAAATCACAGGGATTCCAAGCTGCCACGAGGACCTTTGCGTCCTCCGCACTGGTGACAGCCTGGGCGCTGTGCGACTCCTCCTCGCCGCGGCGAGGGGCGAGGTGGCGACCGAGGCGCTGGGCGCAGCGGTGCAAGGGGGGAAGCCCGTGAGCTTGGAGGTGCTGAGCAAGCTTTTCGGTTTATTTCAAGGTCCTCCAAGGGAAGGTCAGGTTGGTGCTGCTCATCACATGCCGCATCATGAATTGAGGGAGAAGGAGCTTTCTAAGGCTTTCTAATCATCGTTTTGCTGATTAAGTTCCCCCCAAATGGCACAGGCATTCGTTTGGATTTAGCAGTGGACCCCTCACCAAAGCCCTCTCCATGTCTCAAAGGATTGCTTTCCTGGGTGGTTTGTAAGGCGAACACGGGAGGATCCATAAGCCACCATCTTTTTGGAGAGGCGTGTTGGCCTTACTTGGCCTTACGTCACCTGCGGGTGCTTTTCGATGATGTTTGTTGAGTCCTTTACCAGAATGGCTGGGGGGGGCATCCCTTCCCAGCCCGTGTGGTCCACTCTACCCACGACATACTTTCGGATTTTTACCCAAACAGTTTACTGTTAGGGGTTCTCAATTCTTTCTTAAGATGTGTCCGCCCTTTCTGTTGTTGTCCCACCTTTTTGGGGTCTACGGTGGTGTAATTTCTCGGGCAATTTCCCGGCTTCTTTGGATTCCTTGCCAAGGAGATTGTCGCTTTGCTCCTGGAAGAGCTCCCGGAAGCGCTCCCACGCTGCGCCGGCGGTGCCGGGCTCTTGCTCCTGGCGGCCCAGTTCGGACACTCGGAGGAAGAGTTGCGATGGAAGAGGTGGAGTTCACAACGTGGCACTGGATTCAGTGGTTTCGGTGGATTCACTGGCGACATCCCTTTTAGAATATCCACTACAGAATGGATGGCCATGTGGCCAGTATAAATCTGCATTTTAGTTAAGTCCCTGGGAGGGGCTGGGGCCTTTCAATTTGTAGACCTGTGATGTTTAATTCCCGGGGAATGTAAAATAGAGTCTCGGCCACCGGCGTTTTGTATAAGGAAATTTTGTTACATGTTCGAAGCACTCCGGGGAGTGGGCCAGTCATTTTGCAGTGAAGCCATTTGAGTAAAAAACATTTTGTAGTAACCTGATTTTGGTAACATCATGTGAGATTTTGTAAAACTGGTTGGACATGGTTAGAGTTAGACCCATTTGGGCTCAGAGGGCGCAACATGAGATCAAAGGTTATCAAAGAACAAACGAGAATGATAAAACATGAAGGAACAAAAACGTTGCACTACAAAATGCAAAGCCAGGGTTTATTACGAAAGCCAGCCTTCGTAGAAGGCGCTAGCTGAGTTGTGTTTGGCGAACGAAGTGAGTAAGTAGGGGGTCTGGGGGGGGTGGCGCGAGAAAGCACTACGTAAACTCGAAATTAGGTGGTGTTTTGGGGGTGCACGGAAGCAAGGTGTTGGAGGTTGTGTTGGAGGTGATTTTTTTGTGATTTTTGCGCGGCTGGTGATGTAAGAAATGCAGTTTTCTTCATTTGCACCATTTGCATGGCAAGGTGTAGTTTTACCGAGGCCGATGTGTTGTAGCTTCGTGCAGGTGTCAATGCATAACCTCTTACACACCTATATAAGATCAAAGCATCAACGAGACCTCAAATCCGTGGATTGCTGCACGTTTCTCCAGGCTATCTAGCGGTTACTGTAACGGAACGGAAATTGAAGTGCTATACCTGGCAACTGAATTGTAGCGGTTGACGGAAAGGGAAATTGAAGTGCTAGACCTGGCAACTG